TATTTTCACTTTTGTTTTACAGGTGGAAACGAATTTTATAATCAAATGAAATATTAAAAAAATTGAGTGAAAAATGTCAAAGCATATCAACAAATGCGTGATATTACATAAAAACCTAAATCTAGCAAAAAAAACAAAGAGACATAAAAACTTGAACAATATTGAATGCATACTGATCCATAGACACTATAGGAGTTGATAAATTTAGAAAAATAAATTAATGTATAATAATCTGACAATAAAACAAATAAATTAAATTACTGAAAATATTTTTAAGCAAATTAGATTGCAGGACATATTTTTTAAAAAAATTGTAAAAAAAAATAAATTAAAAGACTTTTTAAATTATTGAAAACATTGCTGATTTTTTTTTTTAAACATTTGTTTTGGTAGCCATGCAACCGTGGCTTAGGTTTCATTTTTTGGAAACCAAGCCCTGGCTTTTCAGAAACCGTGGCTACTGGCATAATTCTATCAGATTGATAGGATTGTGGCTTGAACCACGGTTTCTATTAGAACCATCATGGTTCAAACATGGTTGCAGCCAGAGGTTTTCGAAAACCGTGGCTATTTTGTTCCTATGGGTGATACAACTGTGTCTTTTTACAACAGTTGGAAGGATTCTTTCATGTTTGCAAACCGTGGCTGTTAGTTATAGTAAACCGAACCTGCATACATTCTGGTTGCAGTGATTATACATCTTGTTAAATATGATGATTATAGTGCTATAATAAATATTATACTTTTTTCATTTAAAAATATAAGGTATTTTTTAAGGGGTTAAATATTAAAAAATGTAAGGTATTTTTAATCTTTTGAGGTGTAATCATTGCATTTTTTTAAAAATATCCCTATTGATAATGACTTTATATTTATTATAAGATATTTAATAAGGATAAATATGAAAAGATAGGGTTAGTTGAAAAGTAAGTAACTACTTTATTGGGGATGAGATTCGATTAAAAATATCTTATATTTTTAAATGGAGGAAGTATATTTATATTAGTGTAGTGACATGGGAAAATATTTCCTTTCTTTGGCTTTTATTGAATGTAGCCTAGTATGATACATCAAAGCAAGATAATCGCTTCCGTTAGAAAAAATAATATTCAATTGTTTTTAAAATATATTTAGTTTTTCATTGTTTGCCTGAATTTCTAATTTGTTATTTATAATTTAAGTTTTCTTTTTTAAAAAAAAAAAGTAGTTCCCATAATTTTAAACAATGTCAAAGTTGATTCTTACATTTTCTAAGTGTCAAAATTACATGTATTAACTTTAAATATATATGACTTTTTGATCCTCAGTCTCGCTTCTTGAGCACCGTTTCGGTTTCTTTGTCGCGCAGGCGATCGCTCTTCGGAGATTTCCCCTTAGTGGGAGCTCCCTAGCATGGCGATTCTCTGCTTTGATGGGAGGTGGTGTCAGATGCTACTCCCCGACGGCTATAGGATGAGAGGGCGTGTTTTGTGGGGTGGGTGTGTGCGTTGATTTAGGCGTGTGTCGAATGAGAGAAATTGTTAAACAAGAATAAATTAAGTGACACTTAAAATTATTAAAAAAAATTAAAAAGAATGAAGAGTTAAAGAGTAAAGGAAGAAGATAACACACTCAAAATTTATATTAATTTAACCACGAATTTAGTCTACATTCAATCCTCAAAATTACACTTAAAATTTTTAACTAAAATTACAAGTTTCAATTGGTACTTGTTATTATAGTATAACTCTCAAGACTAACATTGTCTTAATTCACTTAACACACCTTACTACAATTCAATAAGTTATTACAACACTTGAAAATTCCTTTTTAAAATTTTTGAGAAGAAAATAAAAACTTTTTAAAGAAAACTCTCTTAAAGAGTAGATTATTAGAATATAAAGTGAAAGCTTATAAATTTTGATAGTTTTTTACAATTCTTTTCAAGAATGATGAATGAATGCTGAGTAAAATCACGATTTGAAAGCTCTTTTAAATGCACAAATGAAAATTTGTTCGTTCAAGGATCATTTTTTTCTTGCTCTGGTTTAAAATGAATCACTTATATAGTTTTTAGAAGTTGATGTACCGTTAAAACAGTGATTATAACCGTTGGTGCATTTTCTTGTGAGTGATTGATATAATCATGCGTGATTTTGCACCGGAAAAGTTTTACAAAACTAAATGTGATAGATCACAAGTGAACACTTTGTCCTCTCATGCGTGGTTTTGTACTTCTGAGTAACTATTCAGTTTTGTGTGCTTAATCACGCGTGGTATCTCATTTCTCTCTCGCGTGGTTTAGCACTTAAGAATATTCATTCAGTTCTGAGTGCTAAAATTTGCGTGGTATCATATTGCTCTCTCGAGTGGTTTTACACTTATAAATATACTAATATATCACAGTGCTAAAACTTGTGAGTGCACCATTTGCTCTCATACGTGGTTTTGCACATAATGAACTATTATTAGTTTTGTATAATAAATCACGTGTGGAACTTTTACTCTCTCACGTGTGAAATGGTTGGTAGAATGCCAATTCAATGTGATCAAAATTCGTGTGGAACCAGAATGATATCACGCATGAAATTACAAACACCAATGAATAAATTTGTCTGATGCATATTCACGAGTGGAACAAAGTATAACTCAAGCAATATTTTGAATGATCAAGAGATATGGATTTGTTAATCAATGATCATACATGTGAATAATTTTAGCTTGACTTGAGAAGATTTAAGACTCAACAAAACAAAGTGTGATTGTTCAATAAATGACAAATCACGCATGACTACCATCAGTTTCACGTGTGGTTCTGCACTTTGTCACAATACAATGAAGCACAGATGCTAAAACTTGTGTGGACAATGAAGTCTTTCATGCGTGGTTTTGCATGCAGAGACAAAGCATAAGGCAACATACAACATAAGTGCTTAATCACGTGTGAAGCACTTCTTCACACTCACGTGATTTAGCTGTCAATGTGACTAATATGCAAAAATTTGTGAATGACCTGCAGAATCACACGTGATTCTGTCTCTTCATTATGCAAATTTTTTCTATGAAAAATCATATACAAGAAAGACATTGTTTGCAAACCTTAACAAACTTATATGAGTCTTAATGCATATAAAAGAAATATATGATGCATTCATTTTATGATTAAGAAAAGTGATCAAACTCTCTAAGTTTTCACATTAAATCTAAGAGAATTTAAATTATTTATTCTAAACTTCTTCATCTTCTATTGATTCTTCATACTTTTAAGGTTTGTGTCTTCATCTATGATTCTTTATATTTGCATACATAATAAATATCTCTTTCTTAGTTTTGTAATTATCAAAACACATGATCCAATAGGAATGGCTAAACAATGTTAATGGAAGGTTTCTTGTGATGGATTATGGGGAGGTTGGAAGAGATTTAGTATTGGGTAAGTTTTTTGGTCTTCTACTTTGGAAAAAGAAAAAACGACAGCCATATGGAGTTTCTCTGATCTTGTGATGGTAGCCAGTGACCTTCGATGGGTGCCCCCAAGGCTGTGGAAGTACGATTCAAAGGAGCTTATGGAAATGGCTATTAAGGAGCCAGAGGTAATTATATCAGAAAAGGTAGGGAAGAGGTTCTGTGATATTAAGAGACCCAGATCTAAGAAATTGGTGAGGCATGTCCCTAAACTAGTTAAAGAACAACCAGTGTTTTTAGCCAATCAGGTGCCTCAATCTTATATACAAGTTATTTTTTAAATATAGTTATATATTGCTCTCTGTTGGCATATGATAAAGGAAGCCATGCTGTGTCTTTGGTTTTTCTTCTCTATGTTGCAATCATCAAGGATGGATTTAATAGTTAATCGTATTAATATACTTAGTCTTGGAGATTTATTGTAAATCCTACTGCTGCTCCTAGGGATTGGAAGTATGATTAGTAGCTTGCTACCACATATTTACTTATATTCTGGGCTGCAAATAATTGGTGTATCAGTGTTATGCAAGCACAAACTGTGGATAGTAGAGATCAGGATGCAGCCAATGAAGGACCCAAGTTTGCTAATATTGATTTTGTTACTACTGATATGGATCGTTTTGCTCTCTTTAGTGGTGCTTTTGATCATGTTTTTAATAATTCTAGTTATGTTTTTCCAATTCATTTGCCATCTAATGGTTGTTTTAAGGTTGTTGCAATGAAGGCGTGTTCTATCTCTTCTTTTTATAGTCATGTGGAAGCCATGATCCAGTGCCTGCAGTGCTTATCTTTTATGGCTCTTTCACAGGTGTTGGGTCTATCTATTTGGTTCCCTTTGGTAGAAGCTGTGAGGTACAATGCTTCATACATAGAATGGGAGTGCTCTATCATTGTAGATTTTAGTTTGAATTATGGACAAACACTAAGTCCTTGAAGTTTTAAGTGGATTCTATGAAACTTCGCCCTTGCTGTAGATTGGGTCTTTCTTGCAGTAGGGATAAGGGTGTGCTCTTCATACTGGGCTTTTCAGCCCCCACCCCTTTTAACTCTTCCTAGATTGTGACTTTATGAGATTTGGGATGTTCTCTTTTGGAACACACATGAACCTCTGGCTTGCTTTTGCTAATTTCTTTTTTTTTTTTGGCCGCTTTCATTTTTTTTCTGCCATTTATGTTCTTGGTTGGTGAATTGTTGATTTTGTTATGTTTCTAATATAGTGTTCCTTTGGCAAAAAAAAAAAAAAACTCTACATACAAGTTAGTGGAAGATGTCAAGATTGTTTAAGTACGGGATTTATGTTTAAGTACAAAAACAGAAAAAATTAAAAGAATTACTTTCAATTAAACTCAATAATACTTAAATCTAATTTAGTAATTATAAATTTTAGATAACTATATATAACAAATTCAGTATTTGAAGACCAATGAGTGTAAACCTAATTTTCTTTAAAAAAAACCTATATAAAGATCAAAATGAAAATTTGGTGTAAAATATAAGCAACAAATACTGATTTTTTCCAAGAATTTTATCTAAACCTTAATTTGAACCCTTTTTTTTTTGGGGGAAGGGGAGCAAAAACCTTAATTTGAACTGAAGTACTCAAACTTTCAATGTTTGTATATTACCACAAAGCAAGGAAGAATAGCTCTAGCATCTAACACATAAAGCTCTTCAATCTCTGAATCTCCACTTGTCTTCTCTGCCAAAGAATCAAACCCATAATTCTCCACTGCTTCAATTTCCTCCAGAGAACTATACAGAACTCTCCCAGCTATTACCCTACACACCATAACCGACATCCTTAGAGATGGTCCCTTATTATCAGATTCTGAATCAACTGACCCTATGGATTCAAAGGCCTTATCACAAGTTGAAGTAGTGAGGACCCCAAATGAACCATGACACTCGTTGGTTGCATAGGACCCATGTTTCAGAATCTGGCACACACAACAATGTTCTGAACTGCACAAACCAGAAGAAGAAGAGCCATTGGTGCCCAGTGAACATGCGATGGTTGTGCCATGGAACCTTAGAAGCTCATTGCCATCAGCCAGACAACGAGGTTGCTTCTTGTGTGACTTTTCAGCTTCGTTCTTCACCATTTGTCTGTATTCCTCAAACCTAGCGAAGGTTCTTGGCGTGTTCTGGACTTTGAGCAAACTCTCAATCTTCCCTGACTTGGTCTGAGAGTTACTCCAGCTGGCTCTGCATATTGTTTCTATGATCTGCCTTGTTGAATCTTCTTCATCAAGTTCAATCACTGCCCAGAAAGAAAAAACGGTACATTCTGAAGTCATAGTACAGTTGATTCCTGGAATCAAATTTCCAACTTTTAAAGCTAATTGTTATAGCTTAGATTCTAACTTATGGTAATCACACATTTCTTGTAGTACTATAAACAATTCATTGGTGGTTGAAAATTTTAGGTTCTTGTGTGATAGCTAGGCTAAGTCTGCATAAGAGAAATCAGAGAGTCTCAAGGAAATATGTGATAGCTAGGCTAAGTCTGCATAAGAGAAATCAGAGAGTCTCAAGGAAATATGTCATTGGCTCAAAAAAAAAAAAAGGAACAACAAACAAACAGAAACACCTAAAACTCAGACGTGCCAATTCAACAAGGAAAAAGATTGGTCAACACCTGAATGCTGGGAGACATGGTGTGTTTCAACAGCGTCAACACATTTGAGTTTCTCACCACACTTGGGACAAATCAAAGTTGAAGGAATATCATTATTAGAATCTGTTTGCATCAAAACCCTTGAATTTGAGGAAGATATGTTACATTCATTGCAATCAACATCATGGGTCCTCATTGAAGGTGTGGTTGTTGGTCGTCTTGATTCATGAGGACCTCTCATTTCTTTATTTAAAGGACGAGGACAACATCGACAAGTTCGAAATCCATGGCAGGAGATGTTAAGGACAACTTCATGGGTTATGGGGCTAAGGATATTACTGCTCCGTAAGGATTTGATTAGACTGCCACTTCTATGTTTCTCTGAGAGAATATTGCTTGTTCTTTGGAAGCAATCTGAAATCTTCTGAGGAATTCTCTGTTGGGTGATTGCTTCTGGTTCATGAACTTCTGATGGGTTTGGTTTGCAGTGAATTGATCTCTTCAGAGAAAGCCAGAAATCCCCACGCATCTTCTTTCTCAGTTTTACTTTTACCCTCAGAAGTTCAGTGAATGTTCTGAGAACTTTGAGAGATGAAATAATATGCTTGATATCTCCAGTTTCAAAGGAAAGTGAACAATCATGGAAAGACATTTCCCCTCAATTACACAGTTCTTTTTATTCGCATGTTGTTTCCATCCATAGCAAGATACCACCAGCCATGGAGTTTCCAAAATTTAAGCTATTCAATGACTCGAGAATCCCAATTCATCATTGTTGGTTCAAGTAGCGTCCAAGGGATTTTGTTGTACCTTTTGAGATTGATTTTGGCCTCTGATATTTGAAAATCTTCTTCTTTGACATTGAAAGAATCACACAGAAGCTAAGATGGTGACGACATCACATAACAAAAATAACGAAATAAACAATTTTTTTTTTTATCACGGGCCAGAAATTTTGATTAAATAAGTTGTCCTGATCAGCATTTGCTATCTGTGCATGGGCTAGTAATTCTTATATTTTTTTAGGGCCAGAATTAAATGAGATTAGTTTGAAATCTTAATTACGCTTTCCCACTTGAATTATTTATGTGACAAATGATTGGGACTGATCCCATTGAATGATTTAATCATAAAACAATGATTTTATGACACAATTTTTATTATTATTTCATATGCTAGCAACGTCCCTCGATGATAACAACAGTCTATATTGTCTCTAGTTTAAACCTCACTGCATTTTTCATTTCATTTCTATTTTGTCAATGAGACATTGGTGATTTCATTGAATGAACAAGGTTTAAAGTTTATTTTTCTTCCTATACTTCATTTTGAGGAGTGCTGGGCCTTTATATTAATAAGTGAGATATTTTTTTTCTTTAAATCATTTTCAGATGAGCAAATATCTCTTTCGATTAATGATTCATTAACTTTTTCATTTTCCATTGACGTGGCATGTCATTTGATATTAATTTATTCCTAAACTCTTTTTTAGGAGTGTTGGATATCTTGAAATTTCTTTCTTTAAAAAGAACGCTGAACACCCTATTTTAATAAGTGAGGGATTTTAAAATCTCTCTCCATTAAAATATCACTAATAGACCACTAACAAGCAGGAGTTTCACTCATTTGAAAAATGGTTTAAGAGAAAAATGTTTTGCTTATTAATAAACGGTGTCTAGCATTCCTTGAAAGAAAATACTAGAAGGAAAATGAGTAACAAATAAAGGGATAAATAAGTAAAATCAAAATAAAAATAAAAAATAAACGAAAATATAATAAAAATATTCCATCCCTTTAGATAAGAAATGAAAAAAAAGGGATATTATCAAATAATAAATCATGGTAACAAACCCACAATAAATATTATATAAATTATTTTTAGAAAACATAATAATAAAATCCTATCAAAATATATAAATGACAATCAGATCTCTTAAAATACTATAATTTCTTTGAAGCCCATGGATACCTTTATGATATTAATCATTTTAGGTTAAATAACTAAATTGCCCATTGTTTAAAATAAAAATAACGGATATTGTTTTATTTTTTTAGTTGCAACTTTTGTTTCAACAATCACAATTTTTATTTTGCAAATAGTAAAAATTGAAAAAAAAAATAACTTTTTATGTAAAATTTCTTTTATAGTTGATAAATAAGTTCTAAAAATAACCAATCATTAGACCAAAAAAAAGAAGAAATAACCTGTCTCAATTATAACTTTTATTTTGGCAATTATAACTTTGATTATATGAATCACAAAAATAAATAAAAAGGCACAACTTTCCACTTAAAATTTTTTTTATCATTGAAGTATAAGTTCAAAAAAAAAATTAATCACAACTTTTATTCTATAAATCGTATAAATTGAATAAAAAATAAAAATTTTTACGTGAAATTTCTTTTATCATTGAAATCTAAAATAAAAATTTTTACGTGAAATTTCTTTTATCATTAAAATCTAAGTTCTAAAAATAATCGGTTACAAATTTTGCTTAAGCAATTTTAATTTTTATTCTATCAATCGCAAGAATTATACAAGAAATTATAATTTTCTACATCAATCCATTATTTTTAAAATTTTAAACAAGAGATAATTTAGTCATTTAATCTAAAATCATTATATGAGAAAGGTATCTTGAATTTCAGGAGAATTATGATATTTTAAAATATTTGACTGTTATTTACTCCCTTTATTAAAAATATAATGTATTTTTTAAAGAGTTGGATGTTAAAAAATATAAAGTATTTTTAGTCTTTCGAAGTATAATCATTACTTTTTTTTTAAAAGAGCCCATATTGATGAATGACTTTATATTTATTGTAGGGTATTTAATAGAGGTAAATATAGAAAGATAAGGTTAGTTTGAAAGTAAATAACTAATTTATTAACGGGTGAGATTTAGTTAAAAATATTTTATATTTTTTAATGGGAGAATATATTTTTTTGTGAGATTCTATTATTATTATTATTTCTTTTTTTTTCTTTTTTCTTTTAATCTTGAGTTCCCTAATTTCAATTCCAATTTTCTTTCAACAACGGTAGAAGGAAATAATAGATGTCAAGTAGGCCGACCAAGTTAAAGACAAAAAAGAAAGGTTTGGGTTAGGGGGTGTGGTCGTGTGGAGACCTCGCCGGATGCAGACTTTTGAGTTTTCTTGGCAACCTTCAATAATTAATTAATTAATTAATATACGCTAACCAAGTCATTGACCGAGTCAGGGCTTCCACGTTGGGACTCCAATAATCATAATATGATTTTTTTTTCTTTTTTTGCCCAGAACAAATTATAATATGATTGCGTTTTCCTTTCTTGTGCGTTTCGTGAAATTGGTGCCATGTAATCTCTAAATTCCACGATCCACACTCTCAACCAAAAAATTAATAAAAGTACCGTTATTCTGTGTCTCTAATTATTCAATTTCAAAAACTTCAACAAAAAAAAAACACAACAGCAAAGACTAATGTGTAAATTGTAATGACTAGTAAGACATTCTGTTCTCACAAAAAGAGGGAGGATTTGCCAATGACCTTGTGTAATGGTATGAGAACACTCTTATAATTGAGAGGTCACGGGTTTGATTTTGCTTATAATTTTAAGTTGTTAGTACCTGCCTTTCTAATTTAAAAATATAAAAAGAGGAGGGAATTTTCCTTAAAAGACATTCCAGCCCCTTCTCTTACAGCCAAATAAAGATAAAAACATAAATTTGTAAGCTTACATTATGTGTATCATGCCATTTATACATTATTCAATAAGATAACACTGAATCATATAATTCAATCACACATTTCATAACAATTATTAATGCCACATCACTTATAATAATATATCAAGTAAAATAAAGAGGGAAAATTGGTGAAAAGGATTTGGTTGGAAGCAAAGTTAGTCCTGAGGACCAAATGGAATTGAAGGACCAAACTCATTTTAATATTCAAAAAGAATGGGATGAATGGACCAAAATGCCCTTGGTGTTGGGAGAGAAGAATACAGTAAATTAGAGATGATTTCCGGCTAACAACACGAGTTTCAACTTTGATCTTTCATCTCTTTGTGTGTGAGTGTGCGTCACCATAACTGTGCAACTCTTCTCTTAGAAAACTCTTCTCTAAAACTAATATCTAAGCACCAATAAAAGTTTTGCATATAATGGATGGAGATCGAATAAGAGAGACAATCCCTAATCAGAGAACTAAAGGGACAAACGAGGTAGAAAAGTTGAGCTTAGCTATGATGGCAAGAGATTTTTGCTCAAGCTCTAAACAATTGAAGGACCATTGATGGAAGTTGATTTGCATACTGGTGTTATGGCTGAAGGGGTTCTGACATTTGTGATGACTATGGTGGTTCTTTTTATCATGCTCAAGGGCTCTCGTAATGAATTGTTGAAGACTTGGTTGCTGGCTATGTCTATCTTGGTTTTAGTTATGGCTGGCTTTGCTTACACTAGGCTCTCCATGAATCCTACCAATGTGAGTAATCACATCTTTTCATTAGCTTTTGAATGTTATAATACAAATATTGTTCAATAACCTTTGAAAGGGACTTGTTATTTTACTATTGCAACTCCTCATCCTATTGTTTTCAAAATATTTGATTCCATCTTTTTTTTTTGTCTTTTATACCATTTCTAGATGTATTCACCTTCCATGTTCAAAACTTCAGTACTGTTATGTATGGTATGACTTCCTTTAAAAGTTTTTTTTGCATGAAAAAATGAGTAGTAGGGGGATGGGTTGAAGTTCATTAGTAAGTAAGGCACTCATGTAAACGTTTATGAGTATAAATAGGAAGATAAGATATCCAAATGTAGGAGGGTGTGATATGAATTCAATATGGGCTCTATAGTAAAACATTGATCGCGCGCGCGCGTGTGTGTTCCAATTTTCATGCAATAATATGTACATAGGTCTTACTCTTTTGTTGTTCAAGAAACACCATGAATCACTTGTAGTAAAAAAGTTGTGGATTTGCATCTTGCTATTTATGTGACATTTTTTTTTGTATCAATAGATAATCCTAAATTGTGACGGCATCTCACTTTCATCTTTGTCAGAGGGTTATTAGTTTTAAAGGTACAAGTGTTATTGAACTGATAGAAAATTGGGGGCTAGCTTTTGTACTCCCCTCTCCTTCCTCATGTTACATTAATGATCACAAAGATCAGTCTAAGGCAACCCTTGATGTTCTCTTTCCAGTCCTCTTTTGCTCCTTTTTCCTTCTTTTATATGCCTCGATTATTTTTTTAGTTTAACTTTGTTCTTGTGAATAGTATATCTAGGTATAATTCAGGTTTGTCTTCTTGTAATATATAGTGTAAAGGTAATATGATTCAGTGAGTCCTAGTGTTGAATCAGTCTTATTTTGAAGTTGTAGATAAGGATAATAAAATTCTCTTTTTGTGATGTGTGGTTGAGAATAAAATTTTTTTTGGGGCTTGATCTTGATCAATGATAGAGAATGAGTGTAAAAAGTGAGAACATGACAAAATGAGGAAAATGCTTGAAGAAAAACTCTACCAAGCACAATTGACTTTTTTAGGGTTAATAGTTTTTGCTTGTCTTATGATAGCTTAATATGCCGTTAACATTGCCTTTGTTACTTGTGTGAAGCAGTGAATTTTTTGGAAAAATGCTTGATCACTTATTCTCAATTCTTATTTTGATTTGCAAAACTATTTAGTTGTTCTTTGTGAATTTTTGGATGAATGTATTTGTCCCCCCTCCCTTTTTATGGTTCCATGAGTTTATAATACAAATGACTTTTCTAAATAGTTGTAGAATCAACTGGAGAATATATTAGACAAGGAGCATCATCAGTGGTTCTATCAGATGCCATACTTGATAAAGAAGTAATTAGGCAGTATAACTTTGAAAAGATATTCGAACTTGCTAAATCTACAGCCTTGTTAGCTAACAATGTTGTAAATCGGTGAGACTTTACACTTTTGTAACATCGTAGAAATCTAAGCATGATTAATTAATATTAATAAGGGTGATTAGTGAATTGATGAGGTGTGTGGCAATTGGTATATATAATTGTGATTTTATCCTAAGATGTGGTTCTAAAGTGAAGATGGGCCATCCAAGCAAGAAAAGAAGAGGAAAATATAAAGAAATATCTTTTTGCCACATGCTGCAATGCGAGGAATGTCCACCACGGCATATAGAGGCATATTCACAAGGAAAGGCCTTTTTATGCCATGTGCAGAGATTAGTTATGTTAACCTTATTAGTCTAACCCAAGGAGTTACACTTTCGTCATTACATAATTTCTGGCTTTTTACTAAACATTGTTAACATGGTTACTGCATATTTCTTAATCATTCTAGTGAGAATTCATAGAACTTTTTAATCAACCAAAAATACTTGCATGGATGGTGAATGATGTGATCTAATCCACTAGAGTATGGCCAAAGTAGAGAACAAATGAGAGGCTTATCATCTCTTCAACAGGTCTAGCTTTATTAACTTAAGTTATCTTTAAAATTGATCAATATTTTGCTTCCACTTCTCCTTTCAAAGTGCTTATTGGTGGCTCATGTTTGTGACCAACCTCTTATAGTTAGATGAACTTGTTAGACTCAATGGGCATTTTTATCTTAAAATCCTTTTTCTACTTGATAAAGTAAACACTCAATTTAATATTGCAATCCTTTTCGTCCTTGGAACTAGAATTTGGAAATTATTATTCTTTCAAGCTGTTGGGAATAAATGAAATAAATGTAAATATTGCAATTTTAAACCAACACTTAAAATAATTTCCCACACAACTACTTTGTCTTACAAAATTGCCACTCCTTGCATTGCATAATTTTTATTTTGCTTTTCTTTTATAGGCATTTGCTGATGAAATTACCATACCATTTCTAGGAACAAGTGCAAAGAATGCTACAAATGTGGAACAAGCATTCATGGCCATGGTTGTTGGAAAGGATCTAGTTGAGAAAAAAAATAAAGTTTTGTTCGAATATGAGAAAAAATAAGTTCAAGTCAAGAAGCTCTTGCAAATTCAACTCATGCATATCATAAATCAAGTGAGTTATAAGAAAATACTGATCAAAGGATTTCCTTAAAAGATTAAATGAATTGTGATTGTACTTTGATGTGTACTTATGATTGTCTCACTTATTTGTTTTTTTTTTTGGCATAGGTTAGGATGTAGTTTAAAATGGGCATAAAATTATTCTCAACCTCCCATGATATGTTTTTAATATGGGGTGCCTTATGGTCTTTGTTTATCATTTTGATTGTACTTAACAAAAAGATAAATCAAACCTAATGGAATTAGTATTCTTTTATTAAAATTATTGTTGTTCATTCTCCCTCCTCACATTTGTTTTTTAAGGACAATTCAGTGGTTTCAATGTGTTACATTATTGAATCTGCATCTTTTACAAGTTAATATGACCTGCTATGTGATGCATAATACTTAAAAAAGAGATAACTTATTGTGAGTATTCCCTTGTTTATTTTTGGTATAAGATATGATATAGTTTAACATGGGCATAATGTTGTTTCTTATTTTCCATAATATATTTTTTGATTTAAGGTACTAGAATTAGAGGGTGCAATGATTTTGGCTTAGGGTGCAAAGTTTTTAGCTTGAGTATAAGGGATCTGGTTTAAGGTATAAGGCTTCTGACTTAGTCATTTTTTATGTAATTCATAGTTATTTTCATGAAATTTAAGGACACAGACAGTAGTGTGCTCTTTGTGTGTTCGATTTACATGTAATCTATTAGATATTACATGTAAATCATTCCTTAGTCATATCCGTGAGTTTTTTCACATAATAGTCGTTTTCATTTAATTTTGAGGAATTGATAGGGGTGTGCTCTCTGTGTGTTTGATTTATATGTAATCATTTAAAGATTACATGTAAATTATTCCTCGAGCATGCTCGTGAATTTTTTTCCATATTGATTGAAATTGAATCAATGGTAGTTTTCATGTAAATCTAAGGCACTAAAAGGGGTGTCCTCTTTGTGTGATTGATTTACATGTATTTGTTAGAGATTATATAACATGTAATTTGTTAGAGATTACATGTAAATTATTCCTCAGACATGCTCATAAGTTTTTTCTATATTGATTTACATGTAATCCGTAGTCATTTTCATGTAATTTTAGAGGATTGACAGAGGTGTGCTCTCTGTGTTTTTGATTTACATGTAATTCGCTAAAGATTACATGTAAATTATTCCTCAAGCATGCTCACACATTTTTCTCATATTGATTTACATATGATCTATAGTCATTTTCATATATTTCTGGAGGATTGGCAGGGGTGTGCTTTTTGTGTATTTGATTTACATGTAATTCACAAAATATTACATGTATTTGTCTAAGCTAGAAGCCTTGCAACATAAGCCATAATACTTGCACCTTAAGCCAGAGCCCTTACACCTTAAGTCAGATCACTTACACCTAGCCAGAAGCCCTTGTACCCAAGCTAGAACCCTTGCACCTCAAGCTAGAAGTCTTTCACCCAAGCCAAATCCCTTGCACCCAAGCCACACAAGCCAAAACTTGTACACCCTGTGTCAAAATGCTTACATCCAAGTTAGAAGTTTTGCATCTAAACCAAAACCCTTACATTCTAAGTCAAAATGCTTGTATCCTCTAGTTGTTGAGTTTACATGTCAAGTGGTGTTGACTTTTTTGGTGAACTTTCTAACAATACTTCACCTATCGGTCAGAGCTTTGACAAGGGCACTATCATCCGGTGGCTAGATATGCCTTTTTGAAAAAAAAAAATGAATAACACATATGGACATTCCAATCATTTGATCAAATTATTTAATAAATAAATTAATCTTAATTTTTCAATTACATTTAATCTTTGAGACCAATTCTTCTTCCAACAAAGCATTTTCACGAATTTTCCCAAACAAATGCACATAACATAATTAAATATTATTTAAATCTCAAATTGCATTGACTCTATTTTACTAGAGTATAAATAAATATTATATCATGACATGCATATAAAAATTTATCATCGGCTCCGAATTTGGAACAAATAGTTTTTTTTTTAAATATTACTCATTATAGAAATCTAAAACTAAATTTTTGGGGAAAAACGTAATCATGTAGATTGCACTACTAAAAGTATTCCGTATAATTTATAGTTTTTTCCTATAATACGACAGTGTTCCTTGTTACGTATACCACACAATTAGGATGTTCCAAACATGAAACGAGGAGATAAAAAAAAAGTCTTCGTTTTTTTCGGCCAAAAATTGTCTTATCGAAGCACAAACAATTCAAAATAACACGCCGCAGAAGAGACAACAATGTTACAACACGAGATACACAAATTAAACCAAAGTCACACAAGTTATATACATCCCAATCCCATCATGAAATATGATGAATTAAGAACAGATGAATGATTCCGACCCAAGTTGCGTCCTCGAAGGCATTCCACATCCATCACGTGGGAGTGATCCACAAAGAGATTCACCTGAAGAGAAAGGGAAGATATTAGCAAAGTAGAAACTTGAAACTGATATTATCAGTTTCTCCTGTACACTAAAAAACGACAAAGTATGGTTAGGATATATAATTCAGTTGAGCATTTACGTTGGGACCATATCGCTTGATAAACCACTCAGATGTTCTCTGATTTGATGTTTCAAACATGATCTTCTCAATACCAAGGCGGCCTATGACCTTTGCAATAATGTCCGCCCGGATAGAATCAGCATGTTCGCAGATATCATCAGCATCGATCATTATCATGTCCGCACCTACTTCTAAACATCTCTCCGCCCTTCTGATCAAGAGATCCGCATCTTCTACTAATTCTGCCATTTTAAACACAGCCATGCCAATAGAGTTAGTTCTACCACTTATGCTTCTTTCTTACAATAGACATAAGATCATTTTGAAAGAAAAGTACACATAATATGTTGATTTAGCGTCAAATTTTTGCCAACAAAAGTAAAGTTTTCGCCACTTTTTTCTATATTAAGCACCACCCCAGCTGGTGTTCAATTATTGTTTGTTAAAAACCACCCAAGACTGCAGAAAACAGTACTCTTTGTGCCCGCGTGCGTTTCCATGTGTGTAAAAGTAGAATCCAAATTAGTTCCAATAAATCCTAGTAATTTTGATATTCCAAGACTGGCTTAGGTGAAAGAAAAGAGGTGAAGATATCCACGATAAGCCACGCATTCATCTTTTGCATCCATTCATCTAACTATCCAGTTTATCAAAATTCATATCAAAAGCATGAAGACATTCTGAACTTAGATACTTTTATTTTGTCCCCTCAATTGCAGAACTTGGTTTCTTAAAATTGAGGGACATATCTTCAAAATCAGTGAAACCTATTACTGCAAGACTCAATTGAATTATTATTAACAGTGTGGCTAAAACCATGAACATGCTTATCAATAATATGCCCGTATCAAGGAGATGGTACTTGGCTGATTATTCTGCAATCACGGCGTATTGCATGTAAGATTTTACAGTAAAATTCTGAAGACAGGAGCTCGCAGGAACTTGTCCGAATCCTAAATATGTCTATTCACATCATATACGAGAAATAGATATAACACATGCAGACCACACACTAGTGCACACAGACACAGAAAGAGAATAAAGAGTTGCATCATACCAGATGATTGAGGTGCTGGGGAACATAAGCCCCAAAAGCCCTATTACCACCTTTAGGAATATCAGACTTGTTAAACTTCACTTCAAAATGGGGCTTAGCTCTCAGACCGCCACTTTTAACCATGCGAACAAATCTCAAAAATGTTTCTTCAGGAACTCCTAATGAGCCCACATTTAGTTCAATTGTGTCAAACCCCAATTGCTTGCATTCCTATTATGAATAAGAAACCATGTCGATCACTGATCTAGAAATCAGAAATGAAAATTCATTACAAAATAATTATGCAATCAGCTCAGACCTCAATATATTCTTTAAAAGCTGATGGACCTTTACCAACCATATGTTCAGCCCAGTTGCCTGTGCTAACATAAACATCATGCCGATGGGCCATGTCAATCATTTCTTTAATAACAGTCTTTGGGATCAGGCTGTGAGAGCCCCCAGAAAACTTCAATCCATCAACAAATTCTCCCATTGACTCAAAAATATCCTGTGAAACAGAATAATTTCATTGCTCCAAAGTTAGGACAAGAGTGCGACAATGAACCGGGCGCAAAAATTATTTAGATGTATAATCCTTCATGGATGAGTAGTGAGTTCTGGAACGCAATTCATACACTATATTTTGACAGTAACCATTAACCAATAGGTTTGCAATGGTGATGCCTCCATAATCTTTAGCGACAGGAAAAATGGAAATAAAATGAGCAAAATTTTAAAATATACATATTATGAATCATCCAAATCTGAACCAATTTATGCTTCTTCACGGAAAAGCTATGAAGTTTTCTCCAGAACCATCTGCATAGCATTATTGCTTTTACGCATCAGCTTAACTCATTTTATTTTCGAGCCACGGACTCATCCAAGATAGCGAAAAATTATTTTCCAGAAAGAAGGTAAACCACCAGAGAGATGCTCAAACATAACCTAGCAAGATAGGGGCTCAAACATATCTAACAAGTTCCAAAATATTTGAAGATTGACAGTATAGCCGTACCGGCGGGGGAAAAACACAGTTAGCACTAATCTTTAGCTCAAACAAAATCCAAATTCAAACCTAGCAAGATACGTAGCTCCAACAATATCCGCTCCCTAATCTCCAGAATCAATCCTCAAAAAAGATCTCCATGATCGTCTTAAAATCGATTAAGGACTGAAATAGAGTACCTGAAGAACATTCTGATTCAAAAGAGAATAATGAGGACCTCTGATCTCAGTGACGCCGTAGCGACGAGGCTTTTCAGGGCGGTCCTCGTTCTCGTCGAAGCTTTTCCATCGGTATGCTGACATTTCCAAGTGACCACCTGAGCTGCGCGAGATAGGAAAAGCAGAGGAAGTGAAAGTGGGAAGCGAATTCAATTTCCACTGGATTTGGTTGTCTTCGTTCAGAAGCAGATTTTGCAGGAGAAGATTGACCTGATCATTCTTCAGTAATCAAACACTCGATACGGGACCTTTGCTTTTCATAAAAATGGATGTGATGAAGTGACTGGTTTTAGAAGAGAAGGATGGAGTTCTTTCTAGAGAAGGGCCCAAACGTCGTCGTTATCTGTCATCACTTATCACAATCCCCGCATCTTCCCGGTCAACCAGCAACCCAAGTTGATCCCTCGCCTTATACGTGTCATGGAGAAATTCTTGCACATCCTGGTCTACCAGCCCTCCCAAATTTGTTTGTTTATTTTTTTATCAGGTCTACCAGTTTAATTAAATAAAATTTTATAAATTATTATCTTTAATAATTTTTCCGAAAATGAAATAACTGGTGTGGAGATATTATTTTTAATATTTTTTAAAGTAGAATACTTCTTTAATATATATATATATATATATATTATCATTATCATAGTCTCCTAGATGTAAGGAGAGATATTTTTCTCTCCCTTGTGAGAGTTCTCTCTCGAGTGTCTATTCCTCTGAGTGTCGAGTGAAATTCAGGTTGGAGGCATCTCCTACTGAGCTACTATCTGGTGTTGACGGAGGTCTCGGTGTGCGTGTGTGGGGTTGTCTGCATGTGTTTTCTTTAACAAGTTATTTCTATGATTAAGAAAGGCTGAGGTCTCAGTACGGAGGTTCAAATTCATGATCTAGATAAGATTAAGAATTCTTTCTCATTTAGGTTTGATAAAACAGTAAGATTATAACATAGTAATCTGTGGCCAACCTTGGTTTATGCAAGGCTTTTTGTTAATTCTGCAGTTATGGGATGAGTATATGGTGTATGAAGAGGTTGATTTTTCGAACTGCCCTTTTTTGGTTCAATTTCATGGACTCCCTCATGGTGCCTTTGATAAAAAGAATGCTGTGGCATTGGGCAATGCTGTTGGTGGTGATGTTATGATCAAGAAACCAATGAATGATGGTAGATTGACGCGCGTCTTTGTTAGAGCCAGAGTTCTTACTGATTTCTAGGTTCCTGGCCCCCAGCAAAAAAACAACATGGGTCACTGTACAGCATGAAAGATTGTAGAACTATTGCTATCAGTGTGGTTGAATTGGGCATGACAGAAAGACCTGTCAGAGTAGTACGAAGGAGATCGAGGATGAGGACTCAAATGAGAAGAATTATGGCAACTGTCTTGGTGTCTCTCATGTGAGGACTATCGAAGAGCCTATGGAAGTGATAAATCCGAATTGGATGAAAGCTCCCATTATTGGTAGATCAAAAATGTCAAACTTTAGTGACCGGAAGCAGAGAGGAACGCTGACAAGGGCTAACAATTTGGGAAATAACAAGCATAAGGGCATGAGTATAGGAACGGGAAAGGATCGTGGTGATTTTATGGGATATAATAACGATAATATTAAGAGTGATAGGAGAAAGAAGGAGGTGAATTTTAAGAAGTCTGGTTAAGATAATGTTGAATTAATGGAGAACAAGAATCTGGCGAGTAATGGGGCAATCAAACCAAATTTGGACACTCAAGTAACAATGGGTGAGCTTATGACAGGGCTGGGTCAAGAGGGAGCCCAACATGTATCACCTGAAGAAGAATGGACTATTGATAGCACAGTTCGAAATTTAATCCCCCCTGCTTATGTTGTTGAGATGCCAAACAAAGATGTGGACCTGTCAAAAGCCCTTAACCCCTATAACTGGCTACCCCCATGATTGCAACTGCGAATGCAGAAGAGTGTTTGTGGAAGAGGTGGTCAGTCCTGAATGAAGTACTACTCCGAATTTGCCAAATATCTCAAAGATGAAGGGCTCCTGCTGAAGCATCAAGAAGCAAATCCGTGCGAGGAAGGGGCAGCATATGCCTGTAAATCATGGCAGAGATGACTTTGAAAACATGGGAGATGAGGTACGCATTGAATTTCCAGAGGGGTGGTTTATTTTCGGTGATGGGGGTTCTCTTGGAAAAGTGGAATTTTCTCATACAATAGCCGGTAATAGGAAACAAACCTACCACCGGTGTGGCATGAAAACATTATCTTGGAACTGCCAAGGTCTTGGGGTCCCCCTTGCAGTCAAAAATTTAAAGGAGTCTTATATTCATAAACCCCAAATTGTCAGTGTTTTGAAATCCAAATCAGACATCAAATCAGGAAGAGCAACGGGTCGTGGTTTTCATGGTCTAACTGGTTAGACTGGTGGTCGAACCGATGACATAAAATTAAATAAAAAATAATATTTATATGCACAACTATATAAATAAAACATTAATTTGTCAATAGTGCTTGGGATCTTAACTCCAAAAGCTAGATGCTTGGAACGTTAGAGTTAGAGGTAGAGGCATGTTAATACAAGTTTGTAATCTTGAAGGAAAAATGTTAGAGTTGGAGACATGCCGTCTTATCATGACTCACAAGCTTCCGGGCTCGATGCCAAAGGTTGGGTTTCTAGAGCTGGAGGCAGATGTTGGAGGAGAAGTTAGAGATTAGAGGAGAGAAGAAAAGAGAGAATTAGTGATTTGAAAAGAGAAATTGTGAATCTAAGTAATTTAGCCTAAATTTTTTTTAGCTTTGAACCGGGTTGACTCGAGTCTGATTTTTGAGTCAAAGCCGATTCTCTCAAAAAAAGACCGGTTCAATTTGGGTCAACTGAGATCAAATGCCAGATTGGTTTAACCAGTTGAACCAAACAGTTTTGTTCAGTGTGTGGCAGTCAAACCAGTCAGACCGTCCAGTCTGGTTTGATTTCAACAACACTGTAAATTATTTTTCTTATGGAAACAAAACAAAAATTAAGGTTAGGAAGGTGAAACAAAAATGTGGCTTTGCTGAAGAATGGGTCGTTGAGCCAGAAGGGAGGAGTAGAGGACTAGCCATATGGTGGGTGCAAGAAGTGGGGGTTAATATCCTATTTTATTCTAAAAATATTATTCATATCCAGATACTGACTTTGACATTAGAAGCCCCAACTTATATTACCTTTATTCATGGGCCACCAAATGAGACTGATCGATTGGCTATGTATGAGGAAATCAAACGACTAAGCAAAGGAATTGTTGGCTCATGGATGTGCATTGGGGAATTTAATGACATTATCCCTCAATAGGAGAAAAAAGGGGGTAAGCCAAGAGCGTGGAGGAAAATGTTTAACTTTCAACACTTCATCTCAGATTGCTCACTGATGGATATGGGGTTTAATGGTTCGAGATATACGTTGTGCAACAAAAGGCTAGGATTTGCCACAATTTTTGAGAGAACGGATCATGCATTTGGAAATGTTGCTCTCTGTCTCAGTTTCTCCAAGGCCCGAGTTTTCCATATCGAACCTTCAGGCTCTCTGATCATTATTTACTTTTGATTGATTTATGCTATAATGATGTGAAAGCTGCAAGACCTTTCTGTTTTGAACATAATTAGACCACTCATCCAAAATGCTTACAGGTGATTCATAAGAACTAGACTCAATCTTCTGGAATTTCGATAGAAATTCTTGATGCTTTTGTTCAAAATTTAAACCATTATAGGAACAATCTAATGAAAAGGAGCAATTGATAAATTTGGTATTCTTTTAAAAACAAATAGAAAATACAAATTTTGCATGCCAATGCTTTGCTCTTTTTGAAACACACACACACATCATTCAATATAATTTTATACCAACAATCTTGTAAACAACTTATACAAGTTAATAAATACTACACCTTTCAAATCACAATATAAGACATCTTTTAAAAACTTTGTTTGGTCCAAAATACAGAGTATTAAATAATTTTTATATTTATTTTTTCAACTATGCTCCTACTTTATTTATTACTTTTTTTGAAAAAATCATGCATTAAAATTTTAATTACTATGATCAAGACTCTTATATAGGGTATTTAATGAGAGTATAAATGAAAAGATGTGAACATTTTTAATAATTAAGGTTTCAACTAACATTGTTCATAAATCATGAATTAGTTAACTATAACTTTTTCAATCTAAAAGGAGTATAGATTATTTAGTTTTTTCAACCTTTCTATTTCTAAAATGGTTACTCATGATCACTATTGTGGCCTCAATTTTCTTGAACCTTCGAGAGGTTTCTAAATGACTAAAATCTATAAAATTAACCACTATATGTCAATTTTCAACTGAACTTGAGCACTTAAATAGCACAATTAATTAGTCGAAACTTCTAATTCCCTTTCTTTGGACAATTTTATGTCTAAACAACTTCTACTAATTCCATTAGCATCAATATAAGATTTTCACAACTTCAAACCTTTTTTTTTTAAGCTAAAATCTAGCCAAATTCTCAAACTCAATTAACAACTACCAATCTAGTTACAAATATTTAATTTAACTTTCAATAACCCTTCAATGATATTTGAACTAGAAAACAACCTTTACTATCTAAAAGTTCAATTCTCCTTATATCAAATCAAGAGAAAACAGAGTAGATAGAGAGAGGAAAGGGGTATAAAGTTTACCTAGAAGATGATAGGTCGAAAACAACTCTCAGGCATTCATAAACCAATGCCCTCAAAGGGCTACCCTTTCCTCACCTCTATGCTTTCTATTTTCCTTCCTTTCTCCTCTCAAAATCACGAGCTAACCCCTCTTTTAAAGTCAAATTTCTAATCCATGAGGTGGATGCATTGTGCTAAGCTGTGGTGTGTGGCATAATGAATAAAATTTCATTTTAGCTCTCCTATTCAATCCCAGTTAGCTCTCCTTTCATCCAATCTTGATCACACACCTATCCAAGGACCCAACATGCCAAGTTACAATTCCGGCATCATGATTATCTTATATAATTCACTAATTCACTAAGTTATCTTTAAATTAGTAGTTAGTTCATGAATTAAAAACTTTGGGATGTTATAGTGGGGTGTGATAATTACAAATATGGGGAGTCCTTTCTTTCATATGATGTTGCACATGTAAGCTGGCTGTTATGGTCTATCTGGAACGGTAGAAATGATTTTGATTTCAATCATGAAGTTCTTAACCCTGTTAATGTGATCATTAAAACTAAAATTGCCATATCTGAATTTGGAAAATTTGTCAGGTTTCAAACACAAGGGGGAAGCGGACATGAGTCACATATTGACTTCTACTTGGCCTTTGCCCCCGTTAATTGTCTCAAAATAAACTGTGACGAGGCATTTATTCCAAGGACAACGCCAC